CACACACACACACACACACACACACACACACACACACACACACACACTAGTATTGCAGCAAACTGAGGTCTTTGTATTGACTTCCATTCATTTTATATATGCCTAACCCTGACATTTCCCCTAAAAATTAACCATTACTGGCCTATAGTTTACACTAAACAAACCTTAMTTCACTCCATACCTCTAAACCTAACTAGTAAAGCAGAGCAGAGCTGCAAATAAAGTGAGGACATTGAAGAGGTCCTCACTTTACATCAAAGACCTCACTTTGATAGTAACTATGGCACAAATGGTCCTCACTCTGTAGTAAAAACAAGTACACACACAAAAACAAACAAACAAAAAACATTCACTTTTTTAATCACACCTACGGACAATTTAAAATTCCATTTTCCATTTGACCTAACATGAATATTTTTAGTCTGTTTGAAGAAACCGGGTTATCCGGAGAAAACGGAAAACACAGTTTTCAAAATGTTTTGCAAACATAATATCCGTAAAGTGTGGTATGCATCTTTTATTCACACCTTTACTCTGATGTCGCAAACTAAACTGTGGTGCAGTTATTTGCCTTAAAAAACAATCACCGCAGTGAAACGTGGTGGCAGCATCGTGCCGAGTTGATGTTTTTCTTCTGCAGAAACAAGGAAGCTAGTGAAAGCTGATGGGAACGTGGATGCAGCTAAATATTGGACCATGGTGAAAGAAACCCTGATGGAGTCTGCAGAAGACTTCAGAATGAGTTCGGGTTTCCATTTTCCAGCAGAACAAGTTTAGACCAAACAGATTCAACTGCTCGGTCAAAGTCCAGATGTTCACCGACGCTCTTCTTACAATCTGACTGAACTCGAGCTTTGTTGCAGAAAAGAAATGGCCATAAACCAAACCTCTATCACATCGATTTGCAAAGTTAGTCGAGACATAACCCAAAAGAGTTGCAGCTGTATTTACAACAAACAGCTGTTCTACGAAGTGTTGATTCAGGGGAACTGAATAACACACACCACAACCATGCATCAATTCCACTTGACAGTTAGCTACTTGTGTTGGTGCGTCACAAAAGATCCCAGTAAAATACAACATTTTGAAACACATTCTTCAGTACTACAATGTCCATGTAACTTGGAGAGAGTGTTATAAACAACAACAAAAATAAATGTATACTGTATGTATGCTGTGTGAGGTAACAAACCGTTGGTCCAGAGATTGTCATTGCATCCAATTCAAGGCGGTAAACCTTGGAATTATTCTTGTCTGTGATAACCTCCAGTGTATTGTTGGATGACATACATCTAGAAAAGAATTTGGGAGCAAAACATTAGTATAAATGTTGCATGTTTATTGGTAAAGATGGATGTCTTTCAGGTTATTTCCTCCAGGATCTTTCCTTCTTCAAAATAGAATAAGATGCTGTGTATCACTGACCCGTGGTGTAAGAGAGGCTGGCTCACTGCAAAGTCCTCGGTTTCAGATTGCATACAGTCGCTCACCACCATCTGAGCACGACTAATGCTGCAGTTGGACAACACATAGAGGTCCAGCTGCTTGATCCTGGATCCGACCATCYTGACGGTATTATCAGTGGAGCTTCCCGTTCCCACGTCGACCTGCCGACGTTTTCTTCCCTGGAAGTAAGAGYGAAATCTGGGAGTGGACGTGAATTTTGCCAGGGGCCCCTGTCCTGGGAGGTGAAACTCRATCCAAACGTTGAGCACGCCAAAGGTTTCCCTCTCTGGGGGTATGCCAACGGCATACTGGGGTCCTCTGACCTGGACTCCTGGGATCCGACAGGCCAGAGGCAGCATGAGGATGGGACTGCGGCGGATCATGGTGTAAGGAGCGACACTTTTCAAAGTGTTGGTGTAAACCAGCTCCGAACCTGAGTGCTGGGTAAAAATTACAAGAAAAGAGTAATTTTTTTTAGATTTTACATAACCTGTCATTGCCAAACATTTTAAAATTTAGAAACAAGTTGTGTGTATCTGAAGTTTGAGAAACAGAAATGAATCCCGTTGTACCTCAAAATTTAAACACAACAAGCAAACAGGGACATTTTTAAACACTCAGATACAATACATTTTTTTTAAGTTGATAGTTTGAAACAAAAATGATTAATTAACAATGTATAAACTCTTTGTCAGGTGCAAACTTTATTTGGCATCTATTGCATGTTTCATAACTAAAAATACATTTAAGTCCATGAAAATGTAGAGCTATCAAAGTCATATAAAAAATATGAGCAAAGGAAGCTGTCACTAATATCACTTATTTATTTTCCAGACTTATCGTTCAGTTCTATACCACAATTAAGTAACTATGTTACTTTTAGCTGTTATGAAAATGGTGTAAATATAAAAAAATAAATTTGACTTTCCATCCTAGCATATAAACACAGACTGAGATCCAGGGGAGGAGCTTTGTGTAAATAGGCGGGGCTTTGTATCAGCAAGTGTTTAGGCAGCTTAGACGKATTTTTAACATCAACATTGAGAATGGCCAATTCTACATGTGCTATCATAWACATACTAGTCAGTATAGTGCTGTACTGTGGCTCTATAAGGCAGATTACAGAGAATATGTCTCATAAAATTTACAAGCAGTAAAATTAATGTTTAAGTTAATGAGACAAAGGATAAACTAAAGAAGAAAAATTATTCAAACTTCATAARTTTTGCAGCAAATATAAAATTAATCTATGAATTACCATTTCTAAAAAGTTATTTGGACAGGAAAAAAATAWACATATTTTTACAGACCTTGCTATTCTCAATCTGCTGAAGAGGAACCTACTTATTATTTTGAATGCCTGTATTTTCTCAAAATTTTCAAATTGTGTCTTTGTTCATCAAAATTAAAAAGACGTGTTGCATCAACCTTTTAGCTGAACAGCTTATCTTTTAAATAACTATCACATAAAAGACTTTTTCTAACAGCATCATTACATAAAAAGTTTAGTTTTATAAATACGTATTTATGTTCTTAATTGTTTTGTATGCTGTACAGTCACTGGCCATTTTAAGTTTGTACATTTGGTGCTAAACTGCAATTTGGAAATTCTGTCCTAGATWATACTTTTACTTTGTTGTTATGATCATTTTTGTATCTGCCTTTCTTTAGCCATTATTTGTAAAACATAYAAAACTTGTTGCGTTAAAGCTGTTTCAGGGGTTTAAAACAACGATACGAGAGAGACAGGCGTGTTTGGTTTTACCACAGCTTTCGTGCCGCAGCCGTTTAAAGGGATGTGTGCAGTTAGGTGTGTGCTGTTGTAGGAGAGGGGGCAGGTGGGGCTGTTGAGCTGTAGTTCAGCCAGGTTGATATCAGTGAAGGAGGTGATGGGGAGCTCCAGAGTCATCTCTGTGTTGTTGCACGTCAGCTCTGCAGGCAGACGGCAACAGAAGATTGTGCATAACTTTCTACTCCATCACAGCAACAGGTGACACCCTTAAATTTGACAATATGTAACATTTACTGCACCTGTTCCAGCAGGCAGTGTCCTCATTTGTCCTGAGAAAGAGCAAAAATATATGTAAATTKAAGTCAGAAYGAATGAAAGCATTTCGGAGGACACAGGAGAGTGTTTTTTCCAGTAACACACGACTCTCGTTGTTTAGATGTTTGTAAGAAGCTGAATGTCTTACTCTGGTACAGCCACACACATCGCAGCTCTGACTGCAAACTGGACAGACAAGAAAAACAGATCAGACCACTTCAAGGCCAAATAYACAGCTTTTAAAATATTTAAATTTTAACTAACCGTGCAACAAAATGTGAGTGCAAAACAGTCTTTTACATTTCAAACTCTAAAATGAATGATGAAATGTGGGAAAAGGGACACGCTTGATTTCAAATGGGAAACTTGCAACTGAAAAAAAAATCATGAAAACTAAAACTTCAGGTCATGTGGCCAATTTTATTTATGTATTTAGTTAAATTTACTTGCAACCAATTCCAATGAAGTTGGGATGTTTTGCAAAACAGATAAAAACAGAATATGATGATTTGAAACTCCTTTTCAACCTATATTTAATTCAATACATTACAAAGAAGAGATGTTTCATGTTTAAACAGATAAACTGTATTGCTTTCTCGCAAATACTCACTCATTTTGAATTTTATGCCTGCAACACGTTACAAAAAGTCTGGGATAGAGGCATGTTTACCACTGTGTTGCATCAACTTTCCTTTTAACCACACTCAATAAGAGTTTGAGAACTGAGGACACTAATTGTTCAAATCTTTGTAGGTGGAATTCTTTCCCATTTTTGCTTGATGAACAACTTCAGTTGCTCAACAGTCTGGGGTCTMCGTTGTTATATTTTACTCTTCATAATATGCCACACATTTTCTACAGAAGACAGGTTTGGACTGCAGGCAGGTCAGTCTCAGGCCAGCACCTTTTTACTACAAACCCACGCAGAATGTGTCTTGACATTGTCTTGCTGAAATAAGCAATGACGTTCCTGAAAAAGACGTGGCTTGGATGTCAGCATATGTTGGTCCAAAACCTGTATCTACATTTCAGCAATAATGGTAGCTTCAAAGATATCAAGTTACCCATGCCATGGTCACAAACACACCCCTATACCATCAGAGATGATGGCTTTTGAACTTTGCACTGATAACAGCCCGAACAGTCCTGTTCCTCTTTAACCCAGAGGACACTGCATCCATCATTTTCAAAAACAATTTGAAATGTGGACTTTTCAGACCACAGGACACTTTTCCACATTGCATCAGTCCATCTCAGATGATCTGGGGCCCAGAGAAGCTGGTAGTGTTTCTGGTTGTTGATACAGCGGGTAAAATAAGTATTGAACACGTCAACATTTTTCTCAGTAAATATATTACTAGAGGTGCTAATGAC